TTCTGCTCATTCACCACATAACATGATTGCAGTCTAACTGAACCACCTGGAATACCCAAGAATATCTTCCAAGCTGCCGTGGGAGGTTTTACACCGTTAGTACAAATACCCAATGGCCGAGCTTCTATGGATTTCATTGTAACGTCATCGCTACCAATCGCGATACAAAATTTTTGTCTGAGGGTCAAGTTACGAGAAGTGGATAAGCATGTTCTCTCAAGGCGGAAACGACCCGTATACGATGTCCAATATAATGTGAGTCAAATTCTTTTGAGAACTATCGGCATTATCGATTGATGAGGGGTAGATATTACTTTCTATGTTTTAGTCCATTTAGGAACGTGAACAAGTATGTCGCATTGTGACGCTAGAAAAGCAATCTACATCGCGGCGAAGGTCACGCCTGAGCCCAAAGCCATCCCTTGAAACACACACCGCTGAAGAGATTCTGCTCACCTGCTCTAATCAAGAGTTAGCGCCTGGTAGAAATGAAATTGTGAGAGATCAAGCTTTGCCAGAAAAAAGGCAAAAAGAATATTTTTGAAGACTGTGTCTGCCGTGGCCAAGTCGCGTGGTTGCTTCCTTCTCGAATCGGTACAAGCGACTCTATTTGATGGAGCGTTAACGGTTGATATCGAAGACGTTACTACTCGACGATTTGTCACAGTATTTGTCCAAAGCACGCCTAATAAGTTGTGGATAGACGACAGTAAAGGTTCGTTGGGAATCTCAAAAAAAAAACACGTTTCAACAAAAGGTTAGTTCAGATCTCTTGGCGGGCGTGGCTCAACGAGTAAATGTTACCATCGAAGCTGGATCATCTGTTGATTGTTCCAAAATTGAAGTTCGAGCAGATACGAGCGAGGGAATTGAGTTTTTGGTAAGGTGTAGTTGAATGCAGGTTTTCGCTGTTTTGCAAAACTCCCGTTTTTCTGCGGTTTTAGTGCGTTCATTTCCCATGGAAAACCATTAAGAGCACATTACGCTTTTTTCCCGGAGATCAAATTTTTTCTAGGGCCCTGACGGAAATTGGTCATCAAACGTGACCGTAGAGATTCCTCCACTTGGCGTGAGTGCACGGCATACATTCGAATTAGTTTTATGTCTGTTGATGGATGCGGGATTGACAGCCTCTCCAGCAATAAGAAAGGGAAAGGTATGTTCATTTTCCGTTTTTACTTGTCGATTTATTGTGTTTTTTTT